TTTTTGAAAATCTTCGATACACCTAATTTTATAAATTCTATAACTCGGCGAAATCAAGTCCAAACGACCTTAAAATTTTTTCATAACCCCAGTTTTGATCATAGAATCGAAAAATAGAAAAAAAAAGTATAGGTCAAAAAATTTCACTTGACCGACTTTTGGCCCTATGGTTGATGTGGTGGCAAAATGTCTCTTAATGTGAGAGTTCACACCTTTTTTCAACTTGATTGCACAAAAATGCTGTCAAAGGGGTAATCGATCACAGTGAATCACTGTAACGCCAATGAAACATCTCACTTAGTATTTATTGTGAGAGCCGACCGAAGGGAGGCCTAAGTAGTGTTCTTCAAGGAGTTAGTTTTAGTTGTATCTGAAGTAAGTCCTTTCAGTGAAGGTCATTTCAGTGGAGCTGTCAAATCAGTTTAACCACTTTGATTTTTTCGAGCATCGTCAGACAATCGCAATTTATGTATACAACAAGACTATATCATTGCTTTTCGTGTGTAAAGCTAGGGCGTCACCTCGCAGTGTGTATTTTACACACCGACACCGTGACAGACAATCTGTGGAAATCGCTAGGCGTTCACTTTCAATGTGTCATTTACGAGCATGAGAATGATGTAAAGCTCGTTCTTCTTGTACATACATAAAATCGACTACTATCCATCCCAGAACACAGTGCCGTTGGGCATTTTTCGAAGTGATTTTTTTCATGGATATATACTCTGAAGTGTGCTCTACAAAATGGGAGTAAAGCGAGGCCTTGATTTTCTACGATTTGGATGTTGTATCGGATTTCCGACGAGTCCCAGGAGTGGCTCCCGGTGATCCCTGGTAGCCTTAAAGATAGATGGACTATGAATAATCGACCATGTTGAGTCTCGTGGCAATATTTGTTTTTAGAGAAAGTTTGAAAAAAGTCGTAAAATCGAAAAGCACATTTTTGTTAATAGGTTTCTCAGAAATCCTTTTGGAAACCCGTTTTGAAAATTCATTTCGTGATCTTCTTTAAACAGGATATAGAATAACTCAGATACTCTACATTCTGAAGTTTTGAACCCGTTCTGATCTTTCTTGACTGACTAGTAAATTTTTAATATTAGGCCAAAACAGCCTGAAAACTCTAATTTTCGTAAAACTCGTTTTTCGGGAGACTTTTAAAACTTTTTCTAAAAACAAATAATGCGACGAGACTCCGCATGATCAATAATCCATAGTCCATCCGTCTTTCAGGCTACTAAGAGTCACCGGGTGCCGGTCTTGTGACTCGTCGGAAATCCGATACAACATCCGAACCGAAGAAAATCAAGGTCTCACTTTACTCCCATTTTAAAGAGAACAACATTAAACTGAAAACCGCAGACCTCCATCTAGCTTCTATCAAAAGTTATTCAAAAAGTAAGCGACATTTTGAAACGGATAGTAGTAAAAGTATGCGGTTTTCCACGAATTTTTGATTCGCCTTTTTCAAACTTTGTCTTGTTAACGACAAGTCGTCAAAGACTAAAAGTTTGAATTTATGGGTAAATTTAGATGGCGAATCGAATGAGATCGGTGAAGAAAAAACTTTTTATTTAACTTATGATGGACTTTTTTGATAGGCTTATAAACGCTCTACTAATAAAAATGAAGGAACAAAATAACTGATTTTATTCATCATAATCACTATCTGTTTCTTCTCCGAACTTCGTACCTAAAGAAAAAATAATTTACACCACATTATGTTGTTAACTTGTGTTACCATTCTTACTCAATTGTTTTCGTGCGGTTTGTCAAGAATTTCAAAGTTCGTGCAATCATTGCATCGTAGCGGGTTCGTTTATCGGTTGGTGATCCTGTAGCTGAATTTTGATTAGTTGGTTGTTTATCAGATGATGAAGATTCCGGCTGAACGATTGAAATAAAAAAATCAATGGGAAATATAACGTTTATCTTGTTTTGAACCACTTACCTGCAATTTCTTAGCAACCTGTTGTATTGTATCTAATAATGGAATCGATTTTGCTGAACTAGTGGAAACAGACTTTTTGCTGAAACAGACCATCAAGACAACGTTATAAACGAACTAAGTCGAGATGATGGAGATTCGAATGTGATTAAACTAGATCTGAATTAAAATAAAATGAGATTGCTTTCTCGACTGAAAGTGTAGAGTCAAATGAACAGAATGTTCATCTGCAATACACTGGTGACATCTGCTCGTTGTATACTAGCGACATATGCTCGTTGTATACTAGCGACATATGCAGAAAAGACTCGAATATTTAAAGGAAATTAGTTCATATTCATAGCTGTCCTACATAGCACATGTAGTAACATTATTCTTATAGAAAAGAAAGTACTATGAAAAGGCTTCAATCCAAAATGCCGTTGTTTTAAAAACCATTTTTGTTTCCTACGATTCTGAGATTGTTGAACGATAAATTACTAATTTTTTAAACAAATCAAATCAAAGACTTACTGCTCTCGAGGTGGCGGAGGAGGTGGCGGAGGATCTGGCTTCGACTTACTGCACAAACTGCAAACGTAATGAAATACAATGCACTGTAGTCTTTAAAATAGATCCTTCCACAAGACTTCCCGGTCAGTCATAGTCATTCCAGAAAAGCGCAGGAAACTCTGTTTACGAAAAATTGAATATATAATCTAATAATAACACGCAAGAAGCTCCGAGTGTGTAAAACTAAACCGCAGGAAACGCACGTTGCCATGGAAACAACGGATTTACTCCTTCTAGAACTCAGAAATGCGACAGAATTCGATTCCTCAAACAAACTGGTGCTGAATATTGGAGAATTTCTTCAATTCACCGACCACCGCTAAAAACCTAAACATCTAATCTGTTTTACCAATCGTTCTAACTTGAGATCTAGTGTGATGTGGTTAACCAACTGCGGTACCGAATTCAGTCGGCGTTTCTGAGTTCTATTAGGAGAGCTTTGCTATTTTGGTTCCTCTTCAAACGGTCGCTCAGAGCTGGTTTTTCGATCAAAAATGGTCTTTGCGCTGTCCAGGTCAGGTTCCGAAATAGGTTTTTTAAAACAAAATGCAACTTCGTACACAAGTACATGCGACTACAGAACTGGCACGGTTTAAACAAAACTGCGGGAGTCGTGTTAAACGTAAGAGAAGCCTCGTGCAATTACTCATTAGTTTAGGCTTATTCGCCAGTTAATTTGAAAAATGAAATACAAACGTACATTGGTGGTACAGATCTGGGCGTGTCTCTTCCTATGTTAAAAACGTCAGTTTTAGTGTTTGTGTTTCCTAAAACAACTATAACATTTTCATAATGAATGTGAATAACTTACGAATAGCTTACTATTCAAAGATGTAGTCGAATGTTGTTGATAGGACTTTTCTATATAAAGACAAAGAAAATAAACAATCATTAATGATTTTGTTCTTTAGCTTACTTTCTCTATCTAATTGTTTCGTTTGAAAATGGTTGACAAAAAACTCCGCTTCGTCTTCGTTAATAAATTTGATAAGAACTGTTGAGTTCTGAACAATAAAAAACAAAAACAATAGATAAAAGGTAAAAGAATATGTGGTGATAAGGCGGTTCATGTCAAGTATAGTTTTTTTGAAAACTATTTGAGGCAAAATACAGCTCAGAGTCACATATCCTTCCAGCACATGTCACTTATACATTTCCATCAAACGAATAGAAGACGGATGATTGCTTTTGTAACCGAAGTGAGCGATGAACGGCTTCTTCAAAAATAATTTCTCTTGACTAAAGCGAAATAATTAAATAAAGAATGATGAAGCATCACAAGAATATTGCGTTACCTTTAAATCGTATAAACGAAAATAATAAGCTCGTTTATCATAATCTTTAACAAAACAGAGAACACCAGACAGATCTGGTTTATCTGATGATAAAATTTGTGCTACTCCTGTAGCTAATGCCTATTAAAATAAATCAGAGTTACTGCAGTCACTTTTGGACTTGCTCTATTACATGAGACGTTTCAGGCGTCGATTGACCAAAAGTTACACCTCCAGACATAAGTCGAAAAGTCTTTTTTTAGAAGTATCCCATCTGGCTCTTCACATTAGATTACCTATAAATAGCAAAACTTCCAGTTTGGAAGCTTCTGGTTGGAAAGTAGAAAAGTTTTATTTTTCGTTGTATTTTGTATTTTTTTCCATGAAATATTTTGAGAATACGACATACGTCGAAGCTACAAACGGTTTGCCAGATGTGCAGCTGGCAACTGAACGGTTCTGCTCCTGTTTACTTAAATTTAAGCTCATTTTACGTTTTAAAAATGCCCAATGTAGTCTTTTATGCCTAGTATGAATTAGAGTAAAATACTTTGGGAAATTAAAATAGATAGACGGAAACTTTGCCTACTTAAAAAAAGAAAGTTAAGGTTTTCAATATTTTTAAAAAGAAATTGAAAAGTCTTCTGTTCTCAAAAAATAAAACTTTTGATTGTTTGCATGATTCGATAGACTCGAAGGCATTTTTTTCGAATCCAGTATGAAAAACTGAATCTTGGAACGTGTTCTTTTTATATTTTGCTTCTTTGCTGAGAAAATTTACTTTTACTAAACAAGAGAAGTTTCGACCAAAATCGGACAAGTCTTGAAACAGCGTAGAATCAAACAGAAACACGTTCGGGGGTTTTCGAGGGTCTTTAGACGTCTCGCAGAACCGACTCTCCCCAAAACCCGTGGGGACCTTTTTAGTCAAAATGTTTTCAGCACAGTCTAGTATGATAGAGGATAAAAGAAATTTCTAGATGTTTTTTGGAAACTCGGTTCTGTAACACCTCTGGAGATTGTCGAAAACCCCCGAATTTGTTGATAGGTTCGATGATGATATGATTTGCTGTTGTCATGTATATGTTTGTTGATGCATACTTCAGTTGATTTTGATATTTTTATTAAAAAGAACAGAGGAGATAAAACTAGTGGTAGAATGCTACAGCTCTGTCGAATTTCTTCGTACGCAGCAAATAAGTAAAACGTACACGAGAAGTAGCATTATATTACGGAAAACGCTTTCGAATCTATCGAATCATGAAAACAATCAAAAGTTTTATTTTTTGAGAACAGAAGACTTTTTAGAGCCTGAAACATATATATTCTCACTCAGCTCATCGAACTCTATCCAACGACGTTTCATTCATCAGAATAAAGAAATTCTGCGGTAAGCTTGGATTAACGACACCTTCATTCGATGAGCTCTATCCAACCAGGAAAGTAAAATACGACAAAAACATTTGCTCTTTTTCAAACTAAATTTATTAATTAATTATTGAGAGCTTATTATTAATGACTGAGAACTGAAAGAAAAGCAAAACAGACAACTTGATCACTGAATAAATTGCTCAATCACAAAGCATCAAAACGAATAAAAAAGCTGGATCTTATTTGATTAAAATCGTATTCTTCGCACATTATCATAGATTTTTTCATGAAGAAAAGTTTTTTTTCATATAGTTGTAAAACGTCGACGTTATTTTCTATAGGACATATATTAAGCAAAGGTTCAGGTGCAGGTCATCGAAGAGGGAGGGCTGCTTGATTACAATTACAAAATGTAAAGTTCATACATTGCTATTATCTGTAGAATTCAGAATTCTAGAATTCTGAACTTTACATACATGTAAAGTTGCATATTTACGCTCAGCCGCACCCCTAGAATTCTGAACAAGTACAATTCAACTTTACATACATGTAAAGTTGAGAATTCTAGAATTTTTAATTCTACAGATAATAGCAATGTTTGAACTTTACATTTTGTAATTGTAATCGCGCACGTCTGCGAAGAGGAGCCCGTAAAGCTAGGATTGTGTATTTAGAAAACAATTTTAATCAAAAAAAATTAGAAGAGTTTTTTGATTATTTTGATGTTTTGCTATTCAACAATTTATACCGCAATCAACTTGTCAGTTTTGCTGTTCATTCAAGTGGAAAAAATTTCCATTCTTTCCAGCAAGTACGAGTAACAAAAAATAAAATTTTTCTAACTTTACAACCAGAAGTTTTCAAACTAAAAGCTTTGTATTTGATAGGTAATTTAATGCGAAGAGCTAAATGGGATATTTTTAAAGAAAAACTTTTCGACATGTATCTGGAGGTGTAACCTTTACTCGACCGTGTCCTGAAACGTTTCTTACCACTCTATTTCTTCCGAGAAGAATTAATAAATCTTGATATTCGGAATTCGACATCATTTTCGATTTATGGTGACTCGGACGTTTATTGGTTGATTGGAGAATTGCGGTTGAATGAGAACGATCCTCGGGCATCTAAAATAAATTAATTCTCAAATATAGGCGGCACCGTTTTCTTAGCTAAAAAGCTTATTCTCGTATACTTAAGCCCTTGAAAAGCTGCATTTCGAAATAGTTTTACTTTTTGATTAAAAAGCACACCGGAAACTAATTGTAGTAATACCAGGAAATAGAGCAAACATTTCTGATCAGAATGAGATATATCCCAGCCCTGAGTGATGTTCTGATCAAGAGTTATGCGAGTTTTGCTAAAAGCCCTAAAACATCCATTATATACTGGTGCCACCATATGTCGAAAGCGAATTTCATCTTAGCACCATTTTGTAGCTCTAAGACTTCTTCGTAATAAAACATCGCAGACAGCTCACAAAGGTCTTAAAATGAAGCTGACACATGTGGCTAGAGATATTTGATATTCGGTCTAGATTTGTGATTAGAAACACATCTTTATCAAAGTTTCAGAGATAAGTTTCTGACGGGGGAGGGTTTAAGCCCATATATGAAATTCAACGTCAGTCCAAGTAGAGGAGCTGAGTATATACAGTGAATGTTATTCTACGAATATCTGAGAGCAGTGGCATCTTACACATATATAACAACTCTAGTCTAACGAGAGAACCTCTTGGGCTTATAAATCACTTTTTGATCGAAATCGAGTGGGTTATAGGTTATCTACCATACTGCTTCCGAATATGGTTATGGAAGCTTCCAATGGTCGTTCGAAGATATGGTTTCGGGAAAATCAGTTTTTCAGAAACTCTAAAGAATAACCAAAACCTTTCTTAATGAGATATAACTGTAGCCCGCAAAGGACGGCAGCGAATAAGAGTCAAACTTTTCCTTTAACTAATCGGACCAAAAGACACAACATTTGCACATTTACTGGCAAATCGTCAAAACTGGTCACCACGGTTTCTGGCCTTCGCTCGCCACAGCATAAGCGGCCTAGAACCTTCAAAGTTAGTGTTTTGAGACCGCCACGGAGCCAGCTCTCAGTTGGTATGTTCAGAAGTTGAAAAAAATGTGGTTTTCGCGGAAAAATAGGTAAAAAATGTGAAAAAAACACGAAAAAACGCGGTTTTCGAAAAGTATTTTGGATATAGCGCCTCGCAGAGGCCGAGGCGCAGTTCAAAACACATGCAGCCCTACTCAGTTTTGAATGAGGAATCCAAATATAACCAGAAAGAATTTTTGAGAGGCAGCGGCTTTTCGAAAAACGCTTTCCTAGTTGGCTTCGGGAAAACTGGTTTTCCCGAAAACCGTATCTTCGAACGACCATTGGCAACTTCCATAATCATATTCGGAATCAGTATGGTGGATAACCAATAACCCACTAGATTTCGATCAAAAAGCGATTTATAACCTCGAGAGGTTGTATCGTAAGCACAGTAAGTACAGTGGGCAATGATGAGTATACTTGTTCCACAAGCAGAAAGTGATCAAGCGGAAGATGAAATTGGTTATCCAGACTTATAAAATGTTATGTTGCTTTTATAAGAGCAAAATGAGACACAGAAGAGCTGTAGTCTAAGTGATAACCCTCATTCTACAACATAATGGTGGTGGTAGGAACTAAGAACACTCTACACTTTTTTCGTGAAATAGTAAGCTTTCAGATTTTGTTTGACGAGGTACATCATGGTACACCTGATCGGAAGACCTAATTTCTCCATAAATGTCTTTCCCAGTAGCTTCTCTACCAAATACTGAAAAGCGCATGGTTCCAGCTCTTTTCGTTAAAAGGATATATAAAATATACTTTTTCCATTCTGTTTTGAAATGGATAGTAATTTTCTTCTTCTAAAAGCATACTTGAAAGCTGCTCAATGCCTCCCTTGGCATCAATATATTCTCTATGTCTTCTTTCTCTTCTTCTGTTATATTTGGTAAATAAATTTGTAAATCTGCAATATATTGTTCAAATATTTCAGCGTCTGTAGTGATATGACTGACAGGAGCAGCACTGCAAAGTGAATAAATATACATGATTAGAAATGCTTTTAGTTACGAGTCAAGTCGTGGTTTTTGTTTTCCTTTATATTCATTGAAAATTTTATTTCTCCTATTACTATTCATCAATTACCTGTATTCAATATTATCTTCATCAACTTTCTACATTACAAAAAATTTCTGAGTCAATGTCCGTTCCAGTAATATAATTTTTAACTATTATTTTTGGTGTTTGCGTCATAATGAACACGTTGTGTCCCTCGTGAAAATCAAAAGCGTTTTTCATCAATTTCGTCAACAACATATGTATTCGATGCAGGTTCTTATGCTGATGCCGAATATCATATGGGTATATGAAAAATTCATTCATCTTGAAGAAAACGCTATTTTACTACTACACTATCTTCAACAGTAATTAGTAATCGTGCTAGTATTGACGTAAAGCATGTGATTTAACGAAACACAGCGACTGTACTAACTCAAAATAACTTGTTCTTTCAAATGGCGATTCTAAAAATGTTTATAGACGTTGGGTTTTGAAAGAAACCTATCGACCAAAATGAACATCTAGTGAACTATTTTGATATTTTTCTACTGTATCTCAAAATAGTTTCCAACAAGATCAAAACTTCACAGGATGTACCGGATTTTATGCTCTATCAATCAACTATATTTTCAAGTTGTAAAACAGCTTAGCGTCAATATTACTGAAACTATATTGAGAAATAGTACAAAAAATACGAAATTAATTTTCCTGTTCATTTTGGTTGATAAGTTTCTTCCAAAATCCAACGTCTATAAACATTTTTAGAATCACCATTTGAAAGAACAAGTTATTTTGAGTTAGTACAATCGCTTTGTTTTGTTGAACAACATGCTTTACGTCAATACTAGCCCAATTACTAGTTACCGCTGAAGATAACGTAGTAGTAAAATAGTGTTTGCTTCAGGATGAGAGACCGGTTAAAAACCGATAGTTTTAGCTTTTTTCAGACACAGATTGTATGACGATTTGGCATGTTAAATTTTTCTCACAACTGAGTCTTGTTGAGCAAACATTTCTTTATAAAATGAGCTACGGCGGATCTTCTCTCTTTTCCATGTTATGTAATCGAAACCGATAAATGAGACTCTTATTAAATACTTTTTTATAAGTGCTGGATCCAGGTGAAGATTGCAGCTATAGCTAGCTTATTTTATAGAGGAATGTTTGCTCTACAAAATTCGGTTGTGAGAAAAATTTAACCCTTTACACCCGAAGACACTTTTATTATAGCTGCCGCTGAAATAACTATTGCATTGAAACTTACAGTTCTTTGGTACATCCATGTTATATCTGGACTTAAGTGATGTTGCTTTGCCGCGTGGATACATGATGTCCCTTGGAAGGGACATTCGGGCGTAACGACATGGATTTTGTTTGTTTTTTATTATTATTCCGAACTTCCTTTTTTACCCTAGTGTGTTACTATGAGTTTCTTTTCAATTCTTTACTCACTTGAAAAATTTTTGATAGAAACAAACGCATTTTTCTTTAATTTTTTCAAAAACATCGTGCCCGAACGCGTTTTTCGAATCAAGATGGCCCCAAGGGCGCTTCTAAAGGAGCTTCTTTTTATCTCAAGAAAGAAAAGTGTATTCGGACGTATCTTATTTTTTAAAAAACTGAAGATAGTTTAGACGCTTCCCAATTTTATTTAGTATTTAAAACGCACTTAGATGCACTTTTTATATCGATCAGAGAAAAACGCCTTCACATTTATCGGCGACGGCACTGTACTGTTGGTTACATCTTTTTTTCTTCATTCGTCCATCTTCAGATATGTAGCGAGTGATCACAGAATGACCCATGCTAACAAGATGTTACGATAAAAAAATTCACTTTTCATGTCGTTACACCCGAATGTCCCTTCCAAGAGACAAGCGATTTTAAGCAAAGAAGAATGCTACAAAAATGTCTGCTTTGATTTCATTATAAAGTACATCCATACAACCAAAACTACCAACTACAAAATTAGAAAATGATTTAGTGGCTACGAGTATAGAAAATATCTAAAACCAAAAAATTCATTTTTGAACTTCATTCAATTTTAAAATTCAAAACTATCGGATTAAAATGGAAATGTTTTTTTCTTATTTTAATCAAAAGTTAGGCTACTCTATTGTCCCACATTAGTAATAATCTAGCTTATGGCCTGATGATCCGTTCTTTGTATAAATCTATTACATCAATGTCCCCTGGAAGGGACCGTCGGGTGTAAAGGGTTAATATGACCTAGTTTTCGTACAATTTAGTTTTTGCGAAAACAAGAACCGTTTTTTGACACGTGCATGGCTCAGAGTGGTGTCAAGTTCACAGTTCCGTAGATTTTCCAGAATTACACACCCAGAATTCAAAGTATTGCTGCTCACTCGCATGCCCCTCTCATACTTCCCGTACTATCACATTCTCTCTACATATTTGCAGATTCTGGTCCAATTCTGCTGTAATTCTGCCAGATTCTGAACAGGTTTTGGTAGAACCAGAATAGAGTTCTACCAGAATTTCACCAGATCCTGGACAGATTCTTATTAACAGCATATATTTGAATGTGTCGAATTCTGCCAGTTCTAGGAATTTCCATAGAATTGTAGAACCGGACACTGCTGCAAGATAAACAGATTTTTTCATTACGTATATCAGCATAAAAACTTGCAGCGAATACATTTATTATTGACGAAATTGGTGAAAAACGTTTTTGATTTTCTCGAGGGGCACCACAGGTGTAAAATTCAAAGCAATTTTTAAACCGAGGTGGTCATTATGTTCCCACATGGGATAAGTCTTAGCCATGCACTTCTGTTTGAAAATTATTGGAAGCAGAAAACAGACCTTAGCTATCTGGTTCTTCAGTTAAAATGCAAGTGCTTTTAATCTTAGGGAACTCTTCTATACTCTGGTCGGCCGACGGCTATTCCAGTATTCCTGTATTTCACTGGTACACAACATTTCATTCATTAATAATAACAACTATCTAGACTTCATATGGTTTAACTTCAGTGTTATTCATGTTTAACAGTTTGTAGAAGCCGTATAATAAAATGAGCTAAGGGATGCATAAATACATGATAGTGTGTTGAATAACACTAAGACTAATTTTTTACTAACATTTACGTCAATGTCACTTGCTCAAAATTTGGAGGGATAGTACCTTTCGAAAGTTGTTGCAAAAACTTGCTTTTCAAATGATAATCACAGCCATATATCGTAAAAACTAAAAGGGAGCCTTTTCTAAAAGAACAGATCGTGTAGAACTCGTGTACTTTAAACTAGTATAAAATATGGAAATAGGTCTTCTCTAATTAATGTAATTTTAGTTCACGAAGTTGGTACAATACGAAATAAGTCTAGACTGACTATTCTCCTCCTTGAATATATAAAAGATGAACACTTCATGAAAATATAAAATTTGTCCTTTCCTTATTTTATTCTTTAAACAGAAAAACTTCTCTTATAAGAAAGTCTAAATTCAGAGTAGAATAAACTATACTATTTCGATAGATTGATAAAATAAAACACAGCGGAATACAGGAATCAGAACAGCGACCGACCGGAATACATTTTGAAATGGTTTCTTAGATGTAAGACAAAACATTTACCTGGCATTTTGGTCTTCCTGGTTTTTACTTGCGGAAAGACAAATATCCTAAAACGATACAAGGAAAAACAAATTCGTGCTAATCAATGTGCTTTATAGTGTAAATACCATATGACGTTGTACAGTTGAAATATCGAACAGATCTCCGCAAAATTCACATGGTATCTGAACAGGAATGAATTCCTTTTTCACTATTTAGCATAAAAATAAAACAATTATGATGGATTGGAAATAATAGAAAACAGTTACGGACGCACATGTACTTTTTGTCTGATAAAGCTGTTCCATTAATTGATCTTGCAGTTCAATAAATGTTGGTCGTTCGTTTTGTTGTTTAACCATCGTATTAGAAATAATTTCCCAATAACGTTGACTGCAATTTTGTGGCTTTTTTAATTGTTCACCACTCATAACACATCGACGAACATCATCATCGTTTACAATCTTCATCCACGGTGGCTCTCCTTTGGAATAGGCTTCCCACATAAGAACACCCATGGAATACATATCAGATTTTTCGCCGTATGCTTCGGATGTAACATTATCGCCAAGTAGTTCCGGTGCTGCATATCTTGTAGGTACGATGTTCAGTGTTGTTGCAGCCGCGTTAGCACCCTCGACGACAGAAAACAATTGACTTTGTCGACTTAAACCAAAATCAGTTAGTTTCACCACAATCTTTTTTGATTGTTGTTCATCATAACGAAATACCAAGACATTTCTACAAGCTAAATCACCATGAACAACATTGTTGTGAGCTAAGAATATCATGGCATCAATTATTTGTAAAAATATTTCTATAAGACAATATTCCGGTGGTGTTTGTGATTGATCTTGTAGAAAATCAAAAAGGCTGTCCTCTTGTGCATATTCTTGTAATAACATAACTGATGAATTTTGTTGAGATTCTTGTTGACCGTCTTGCACAAGACCGTACGTGCGAACAATGTGTGGATGACGGCTTAGATCAACATAGAACGATGCTTCTTTACTTGCTCGGGTACTATTTATCTTGAGTAAAATTACTTTTGGATGATTTATGTTTGATGGTAACCATTCAGCTTCGTATATGGATTTTCCAAATGTTTGAAAGAGCGGTCGATTAGATTTTTTCTTAATATCAACATTCAGTTTAAATTGATAATTTTTTTCTTTGACAGATCTTTCAAATGTCTCAATCATTTTTTTAATTGCATAATTTGGTCTTAATTGTTCAACACTTAATGGTTGTCGAGTTATTGGACTTGTACCATTTTTGTTGATCCAATCTATAATTGCTTGCTCTTCATACGTGTGACCATCTTCGGCCAAAACTGGATTATGAAATAGTTCTAGTGTGATCGGACATAAGAGTGAATCATGAACAGCTTCCATGATCTAAAACAAAACGTTTGGCTGTTTTGATGATGTCGTATTTTCAAAAAAAAACTGTACCTTTCGTTTCAAGCCAAAGCTGAAAGATAATCGAGAATTTTGCACGCAGACCGATAGTTCTAAAAGTAAGTGCAGTTTATAATTTCAGAGACCTTTTCGCATCAAGTAAAGATACAATCTTTCCATAACTACTGTAGCTCTTGAACCCTTAATGTTTCGTGTAAAATCGTCTCAGGACAGAAAGTACAAAAGCCCTTTTTTATTAGAAAGATTTTGTAGAGACACAACTTCATGCCTGACGAACTTCGAACACAATAGCTTTTACTGTTATTATTTGTAGGTTATAATTTATTTTAACTCAAAAAAATTTACGTCATCGATTGAAATGGTTTTTACCTACAATATGTCTCATTTATGTTCTACTTGAGAAATATTTTCAGACATCGTCATCGTTACTCACCCTCTCTATATTAATCTCGTTCTTCTTCTGAAGAAAAATTCTAAACAGAAACTAAAAAATCAAACAGTACCACTTCTTCTCTGCTGCAATGAATAACAACAACTAAAGAAACCTTTTTATTTATTTGTAAATCGAATATGGAACTGCTATGAATAACATGACTTTCAGTCTTGAAAGTCATGTTATTCATAGCAGTTCTATATTCGATTTACAAATACTTATTTCCAACTGCTTTTTATTTATGTTTACGTTTCATCTTTTAATTTTTGTGTAAATAAATCTCATTTCACAATTTACACATGAAACTTCACTTAGAAAGAAAATGGCTTTTTCGCACAGTAATTTGTATTTTAGACGCCTCGTGGTCGGGATCAAAAGAAAAGAAGTTTTTCAAAACCAAAAAGCAGTTTATATTATGTCCGTACTGATTGTAGTAAAATGTCAGCCTAATAGACCAAGTCCTTTTGATCGAAACACTGCTCCGGCGAAGAGACATTTTTCGCTATAGTGGTCTCTATAAAACTCAAATTATAGAGAAGAGAAACGAAATTAATGGGGAGAGGGTGACTGAATATATTTTGTTTCTCAAGTAGAAACGTAAATGAGACATATTATAGGTAAAAACCAAGGTGCTTTTTTGTTTTATCAGACTTTCGCATGCAGACATAGTATCAGTTCCAAAAGTTAAAATCCTTTAGCCTTTAGACATCTCCGAAACGCAAAACCGAAATGATCCTCCGGAAACAGTTTTTCTATCTTTCCACGTTGTGGCTCGTAAAATTCTGATCAAAATGAGAGGTCTTCGGCCTTGTACGTGTTTTTTTCAACGAGATGCGAGTTTCACAAAATTCGCATAGGAACTTGTGTTTTTTGCTTAGTAGGTCCCTCTTTTGAATTTTGCTTAAACTCTCGCAGTTTTAGAGGGCACGTCGAAGTATATGTCCAAAAGTTTTTTCGACTACTCTACTCTCTTAAAGTACTATTTGTGAAATAACGACTCAAGGAATAAACTCAAGCAATACTTCATCTGATAGAGAGTATCATGGGCTGTAAAACCGACTATCTTACAATCTGTTTATACTCTGTCAAGAAGTTCAAAGTAGGATTCATTAAAAAAAGAGATAATTTGTTACCTATCCAGAGAATATAGATTCCTATGAGGCTTTTGTGAAATCTGCAGAACAGGAAGGGCAAAGAATAGTCACATTTTTAAAGATTCTAAACGCAACATTTCTCGCTTTCTGGATCACTCAACTATTGTTTAACTTCTCTCACGTAAGGAAAGTGTATCATTACGCTCTCTAAAAACAATTCGTAGCTTACAAAACTAATATCAGTTTTGGCATTTGCTCTTAATAGAAACCGTATCGTACAGTCCTGCTTAACCATTTCGCATAACATGCTTGAACGTTTTTCTCTGATACAAAACTTAAATCCCTTTCTTTACCAGAGAAAAAACGTTCAAGCGTGTTATGCGAAACGGTTAAGCAGGACTGTACGGTACTGATATCGGTTTCTATTAGGAACAAATGCCAAAACCGATATTCGTTTTGTAAGCTACGGATTGTTTTTAGAGAATGGAAGTGTGAAAGTTTGTAAGGAGAGAAAAATACTGTACCCCTTTCATCCATAACTTGTCATCACTTCGGTATCCGAATGGAGTATGGAAAGTATGAAAAATATGTTAGAAAGCTTAGAATTCAGCACCTGTTAATGAATGGATCCAGTGCAGCAAAGCCGTTTTAAGAAAGCTGATCAACAAATGACGGATTTACTTATTTACTATTCAATCAACTATTTATTGGTGTGATGACGAATCTCACATTGTCAACAAAGCAACTTGAATACTCGTCTATCTCACTTATTTTAAAAAATATATAGCATCAACCAACCGCGTTAGCTGTGGTATTATATGAGTTTCGTTTCTGATTAATAATTGTGCGAGTTTATGATGATTGGCGTATGGTACAGGTACTAAATTAAATGGAAAATATAAGAAAAGCAGGTGTTGATATAAGCTTTATTCTATCAGAATACAAGCGGAAGAATATTCCATTATAGTATTCTAAACTAAAACTATCGAAAAACACAAAAACCAATTTTGTACGAATAGAGATTCGAACATGTGAACTTAGCTTTATAGTAGACTACTACAAAACTAAATTCACTGTTCTGTATCTATATTCTGTACAACGATTGAGATTGTGTAATCGACTCGATGTTAGCAGTTTGAAGTTAATAGTTTGAGAACCGCTGAAAGATTTCTTGTCCTTCCCAGAAGCAACATCCTTGTTCCATGGACTTGACACTACGTGCTTCACATTGAATCACAAAAGCACTCGGTAGATCATCAACAGTCCAACCTAACGCTGTTCTATACTATTGAGGTCATCTGTACAGTTATTCGATTCGGCGTTGCCAATCTCTACCAGATCCATGCTGACTTTCGGATCTGTTAGATCAAAGTCACTAGTATGGAAAACAAAAGTGTCATTCGGCAAAATAGAATTACGCATATACACAGGTCGATCAATATAATAATCAATAAGAACGAAGCTTTCGCCAAATTAGCAAAATTGATTATGGCATAGTTAAAAAAAGCCCTGATCAAATTGGCCCGACTCATATCACAACCGACAAACCATGTTTTTCTCAGTGTGACTGACTGCATTTGAGCACCGATTAATAGTGAATCTAAACTTTCAAGAAAGCTTATGTTGAAAATACATGAAACCTACCAAATTTTTATTCGTCACGACTCAAACCCGGAGACCGCGATATTCAGACTGGGCATGTTGAAAAACGGTATTCACCTAAGTTTGACCTGGAAGGCAGACCAAAACTTTTCCTAAAATTTAGGATGAAAACTTTTTTTCAAAACGCGTCGAATTACACATCATTCGATGGTGTTTTTTTCGTAGATTCCGAATATCGGTGAAAGCTTTTTTGTAAGTAGTATTTACAAAAAAATTTTCACCGCTCGCTATTAGATAAAGTTTGGCGGGAAATTTTTGAACTTGACTTGCCCAGCCAGCTTTTTGGTACAGAAAGTGTGTTGAGAAAAATTTGCACAGAGTTTCGCTTCAGGAAAGCGTTATAAAACAGAAATTGTTCAGTATCAAATTCTACACCGGAGCACAAACGAAAATTTCAAAATGTTTAAGAGTCGATTTTTCAATGAAGTTAAAAGCAGTTAAAAGCAGTGTTTTTGCATTTAAGAATCTAATTTCTAAAATTTAAAATTTTTGTTTGTCAGCCGATGTAGAATTCGATACTGAATAATTTTTGTTTTACAGTTTTTGATCTGTACTGCTTTCATGATGCGAAACTCTGTGAAAGAAGTTTCTCTCAAAAGACGATGAAAATTTTTTTGTGAGTACATTTCAATAAGGTCTATCGAATGACGAAAGACTCAAGCTTATCTCTCGAAAAACAAAAGTTTTCTTGAAATTTTTGAAAATATGGCAGAGAAAGGAGGAAAATTTTTTCAAACTTTTCCCAAAGAATACAAGTTCGGTGCCGAAAAACCTTTACCATATGTATTTCAAACTGTCCTCTACAAAACGGTAAAAAGGACAGTGACAGGATCTCCTCCCCTTAACAGTGTTTCTTTTCTATCTGCATTAGAGTAGGATTTATGTAGATCGTGAAATGGGATGGTTATTTCCGATCAAAATCTAATGATAATATATTTTCTGAACAACATTTAAAATCGACAATAGAAAACTCATCAAACTGAATTTCGTCTGACAAATAGTTTTTAATACTGGTGGACCGTTGTCTAGGCATGTAGCGAAACAGAATCTTGCTCGGAAGATTCAGGTCTGATACTCGGGGTTCGCTCTCGGTATTCGGTATTCAGGACTCGGTCTAGTCTAGGTATTCGATATTCGGGACTCGTTCTGGTCTCGGGATCCGATTCATGTTCGGTAATAGGATTAAGTACCATATATTTCACATGGTTTTACGTAAGTGCCCTGGCATTTCACCCTTGATGATATTAAAAAAAATAGAATTAGGAACTTTTATAAAATTATTTATTTATTATTCTTTGAATTATTTTAAAATTTTATATTTAAATTGTTTAGTTTTATTTATTTTTAGTTCTGATTCTGAAAAGAATTTGAGAAAAGGTTAATCGAGTATGTCCTTAGGATCATTACTAATATTTTATCAATAGGTTCCCATTATTAAGTATGGAATTACCAGTAAGTAAGTATACCCAGATACCTTTCGGTGTAGGGTGAGACAAAAAAAATACGAAACAAATAAAAAGGTTAAGTGTTCTTTGGCCTCTGGAGCTGTTCGTTCACACCCTGCTATCAATTCAAGGTTATTGATCAGACCACCATCCTCTAAACGTATCTGGCTTAGATTGTGATCGTCATTTCACCAAGATTGACAGTTAGAATTTGTTTTCATTTCACTTTTTGAGTATTTTGATGTTGTTGTTCTTGCACCATTGAGGTATAAAATTCAAATTACTTTTATTAAAAAATCCCGTGTATTTTCCATGGACTGTTCTAACTACCCACCCATT